CTCCTGGTCAAGGTGGAGACCGGGCCGGAGGCAGGTGCTGACCCACATTTGTACCAGGTCCTCCAACACGAAGAGCTGGGCACCCATGGCTCACGCCTGTAATCCTAGTACTCAGGAGGCAGAGATCTGGGGATTCACAGTTCAAAACCAACCCAGGTGGGCTGGGAAGGTGGCTTGGTGGTAGAATGCTTAAGCACTTAGCATGCATGAAGCCCTGGGTTGGATTCCTCAGTACTACATACACAGAACAAACCAGAAGTAGTGCCGTGGATCAAGTGGTAGAATGCTAGCCTTGAGCAAAAGAAGCTCAGGGTCAGTGCCCAGGCCCTGAGTTCAAGCCCCAGGACTGGCCAAAACAAAAACCCATGTAGGAAAATCCAAGTCAGATTATCTCCAATGAACCACCAAAAAGCCAGAAGTGGAGCTGTGGCTCAAGAGCATTTTAGCGTAATAACTCAGGTTAAAGAGGCAGTGCCAAGAACCCAGTACTGGCACACACAAAGTTAGGAAAGAGTTCTCAGTGGAGTGGAAGTGAGTGTGGTATATGATGTGTGGCCCCCATGTTGAAACCCAGGATACCCTTGTCTGGCTCTGGTGGCCGGCATTATTGAGTCTGGCTGGGAAGTGGTGGCCTGGCTGCTTGCCACTGGCTAGATTTTGGGACCCCTGACCCCCCGCCCTCCCTCAGCTGTAAGGGACCTCTAGAAAATTATTCCTACTTGGGTTTTTCATTGTTGTTTTGGGTTGTGGGTCTTGAACTCTGGGCTTAGGTGCTATCCCTGAGCTCTTCAGCTCAAGGCTAGTGCTCTACCACTTGGGCCACAGCGCCACTTCCGGTTTTCTGCGTGGTTTATTGGAATTAAGAGTCTCACGGACTTTTCCTGCCCGGGCTGGCTTTGAACCACAATCCTCAGATCTGAGCCTCCTGAGTAGCTAGGATGACAGGCGTGAGCCGCCAGTGCCCAGCCCACTTGGGTTTCTTTTGGGTTCCTGATTTCCTCTAGTGGATTTCCTTTCTAGAAGATCACAGTTCAAAGCCAGCCCGGGTAGATAAATCCACGATACTTCAGCAATAAAAAATGGAAATGGATCTGTGGCTCAAGGGGTAGAGCACCAGGTTTGAGCAAAAAGAAAAAGTCATGTAACAGTGGGAGGCAGGGGTGGGGAGCCCTGCTGGTACCTGCGTACCCCGGTGCTGAGCGCTGTCCAGGGTGGTTTTGGAAGCTGGGAAGGTTGTGGGGAGGGAGGTGGCTGAGGACACGGAGCCCGCAGTCTGACCATGTCCCTTCTCCAGGTGACCTGGACACGGAGGCTCAGGCCACATCGCCCTCACAGCCCACTCTGGCTAGAGAAGACAGAGACAGCCTTCCCCTGGCTCAGAAGTCACCAGCCCCCAAGGTCAGGAAGCTGGGGAGGAAGCCACCCACCCCTGGCCCAGAGAGAGAAGCCACCTCTGGTGGGGGCGGGTCACGTGGTCCCTCACCAAGCCCAGCCACCAACGCCAGCCCGCCCGGCCCTACGCTGCGAGCCCGCTTCCGAAGCCTTCTGGAAACCGCCTGGCTCAATGGCGCAGCTTTGCCCACTTGGAGCCACAAGGCCCCGGGAGCAGCCCGGCCCCCTCGGCAGCCCCACCTGCTGGGCAGCCCCAGCCAGCACCTATAGCCCCCTGGGGCCAGGAGGGTGCCATCTTGTGTCCTACCCAGTTGCCTAGAGCCAGAAATGGATGCTGGGGGGGCTGGGACCCACCAGGCTGGGCCTAGAACCTCTGACCTTGGAGTATGAGAAAGGACTCTTTCTTCTTCCCTAGAGAAAACCCGCGGGTGCTGGAACTCCCCAGACCTGGCCTTGAATCGTGGCTGCTGTGTTCCTGGCGGCGTGGCGTGGGCAGAGGCCCCTGCTTCTCTCTCGACTGCTCGTTCCCCGTTTGTAAAAATTAGGACAACAGCCTACCTCACTGGGGTGTTCGCGGGGTGCTGACCTGACTCACGCCCATGGTGACTGGGACTCCATGTTTCTCCCCCCCCCCTGGGGTCAGGCCCTCACCATCAGCCAAGAGCCTGGATTGGGAAGCCGGGGCCTGGACTGAGGCTGGATCAGCAGGCTCTTCTTGCTGAAAGTCTCCGTGTGTCTTAGGATTTGGTTGTCCCTGAGCAGTACATTGCCAGTGTCTGTCTGTCTGTCCTGTCCGTGCTGTGGTCCTTGATCTGGGCTGGTAACGGGCCCCAGGCCTCACCTGAATTTACGTCGTCCAGCCATCACCCCCCCACCACCCTCCCCCAGGAAAGTGATGTTTTTCTGGAAGCCAACTAGCCCCAAGCGACTCGGGGACTGGTGCCCACGTGGCGGGCTGGGGGTGGGGGGGAGGATTGGCTCTGTCCTTGGAGGTCTCTGAGCTTTGGCGGAGACTCTGGTGCTCTCCAGGCTGAGAGCTGGCGTCCTTGGCTTTATTTAAGGGGTCTAGGAGCCTGTGCGGGCCTGGGGGCGGGCGATTAAAACATTTGTGTTGTGTTTTGGAGCTGGGATTATGAGCCCATCTTTAATCACCCCAGGCTTCACACTACCCTCCCTGCCCCCAGCCTTGAAGTCACAACGAACCTGTGGCACTGAATCTAGCTATGTGTGTGCACATATATATGCATATACATGTATGTACATATACATGTATAAGGGTGTGTGTGTGTGTGTATATATATATATACGTTGTTGCTGCTGCAGTCGGGCATCTGTGGCTCAGGCTTGTATCCTAGCTCCTCAGGAGGTTGAGATTCATAGGATGGCAGTTCAAGGCCAGCTTAGGTAGAATGTTCGCTAGATTCCATCTCCAAAACAACCGCCAAAAAAGAGCTGGACAGACATGACTTCTCCAAGTTCAAGTCTCAGCGCCAGGCACCCAAAACAAAGCACAACCTATTGCTAAGAGCTGAGGGACTAAGGGGACAGGCTGCTACACCCCCAGAAACCAGGGCCCACTTAACTGTGACCCTCTAGTTCTACCACCCCTCCCCCCCAGTTTCTCTACTATCCATTGGAGTTCCTAGGCCAGGTCTAGTCTAGCCAGGGAGGGCTTCTCAGAAAGAGGCCCCTGGAAAGGCCTCCTCATTTCTCTTGTTACAAGTGTCTTAAACCGAGTACCAGTAGCTCACGCCTGTAATCCTAGCTAACTCAGGAGGCTGAGATCTGAGGATTGAGGTTCAAAGCCAGCCTGGGAAGAAAAGTCTGTGAAACCTATTTCCAATTAATCACCAAAGATGAAAGTTGGAAGTGTGGCTCAAGCGGTAGAGTGCCAGCCTTCAACCAAACAGTAAGAGACAGTGCCCAAGCCCTGAATTCAAACCTCAGTACTGGTGCACACACACACACACACACACACACACACACCCTAGAAACTGGGCCTTGTGGTTCATACTTGTAAACCCAGCATGGATCAAGAATTTAAGGCCAGCTCCGACGGACTCAAAACCAAAGTCAGGAACCTGGGTTTTAGTCAAACTGCCAAGCTGACCGTTCTAGGCTGTGTTCTCAGTAACTAAACACTGACATGCCTTCCCTTTACAGAGGGGGAAACTGAGATCTGGGAACTTACTGAGGGATTGGTCCAGGTTGGGCTATGTCAGAAACCCTGGGTTAGGGCTGGGAATGTGGCTTAGTGGCAGAGTGCTTGCCTAGCATGCACGAAGTCCTGGGTTCGATTCCTCAATAGCACACAGAAAAAAACGGAAGTGGCACTGTGGCTCAAGTGATCGAGTGCTAGCCTTGAGCAAAAGAAGCTCAGATATAGGCCCAGGCTCTGAGTTCAAGCCCCAGGAAACAACCAAGTAGGTCAGAGCTGGGTGTGGTAGTTCATGCCTATCATCCTAGCTCCTCAGGAGGCTGAGATCTGAAGACCAGTGTTCAGAACCAGCCTGGGCAGGAAAGTCCATGAGACGAGCTCACTCCATTGAAACCTGAAGTGGAACTGTGTGTGTACTGGAGCACTAGACTTGAGAGTAAAAGCCAAGGGTCAGCATCTAGGCCTCCAGTGTCTCATCACTGTTCTAGAGAGGAGCTGAGGCTCCTGGCATGGGGCGCAGGGCCCAAGGAGGCCTAACGGTGGCTGCCCGCAGCCCTGGAGATCAAGTGAGGGCTCTGCAGAGCTTGTCTCAGATTGAAGGGATGAGAGCGTCCAGGGCCAATGTGCCCCCAGGTCCTCCCTTACCTGCCTCAGAGCCTGGCACTCGGGGCTTGGCTGCTTCTCCTGAACCTTACAACCCCCTGGGCTCCCAAGCACCAGCTGCTGGAGTCCGGGATATCCTTAACCAGGGTAGCTCCCGGCTGTGGGTATAGGCCGGGGACCCCAGAGGCTTCTCCCCACCGCTGGGGCCCTGCTGGCCTTCCCATAAACCTGTGCAGGTCCCCTGGGTGGGGAGGCTGGAGTGGCACCATGCAGCCTTTTCTGACCCAACACACCAGAACTCCAGCTTCCTGAAGGTCAGGTTTGCTCGTGTGAAGCCAGTCCTGGGGCTGGAACCCACCAGGGCCTGGGCGCTGTCCCTGAACAAAAAATTCTCATGCTTGAGGCTGGCACTCTACCCATTGAGCCACAGTTCCACTTCTGGCTTTTTTTGTGGTTGGTAAAAGATGGAAAGCCAGGTACTGGTGGCTCATGCCTATAATTCTAGCTGCCTATGACTGAGATCTGAGGATCGTGGTTCAAAGCCAGCCTGGGCAGGAAAGTCCATGAGACTCTTCTCTCCAGTGGACCACCAGAAAACCAGAAGTGGCACTGTGGCTCAAAGTGGCAGAGTGCTAGCCTTGAGCAAAAGAGCGCAGGGACAGCGCCCAGCCCCTGAGTTCAAGCCCCATCACTGACCAAAAAAAAGTCACACAGACTTACGTGCCCTGGCTGGCTTTGAAATAAGATCCTCAAATCTCAGCCTCTCGAGTAGCCAGGATGACAAGGTGTGAGTCTCAGCCTAGAAGCGTCTGACCCGAACAAACTCTTCCCCCTCGCGTCACTGTGGTCAGGTCTGTACAGGAATGGCCACCCGGCCTCTGGCCACTTGCTCGTGGGTCTCCCCAAAGTGCAGGTCCCTTCCTGCAAGGGCCAATGGGCAGCAGCTGGGCCTGGCTGGCCCGGAAGCTGGGCCTGAGTCCTCCCCTGCCCTGGGCTGGCTCCAGGCACCGCGGAGAGGCTCTGGGCCTGGACCTTGAGCGTGGATGGAAAGGCCCGAGGCTACGCAAAACCCCAGGATCAGAACCCCACGTGAACACAGAAACCATAGCAACTATTTCCCCTCCGACTTTTATGTCCCATGGAGGTGAGGCGAAGTGGGTGGAGAGTCAGGTCTGAGGAAGGCAGGCCGCTGCTGGTTCAGTCTTAGGCTAGGGCCTTGCCCTGTCTGTGCTGGATGCCTGGCAAAGGTCCTGGGCTCCGGCTGGAGTCCTCCAGTTCAAGGGAGAAGCCCCAGGCGGGAGCGGGGGGGGGGGGGAAGAATGGAATCCAATGGAGGGAGAAACCGCTCCGGGGACACCTGGGGGGAGGAGAGGAAATACTGAACCCCCCAAACACGCACATACAGTGCCACCTGCCCACTCCTACCTGGGGGGAGAGGGGGAAAGGCAGGCAGGAGACAAAAGGGGAAACTGTAGATGGAGCCTGGCAGCTTTCCGCTCCCCCCCACCCCCCCTCCACCCTAACACCTCCTCTGGCCCCTGGCACCCTGCGCACCTGCCTGGCTGGGGCAAGCCATACCTTGCAATGCAGGCCAGTGCCTGGGCGAGGCCTTGGTTCCCCCAGGCGTCCAACTCAAGTTGAGGCCCCACTACTTCAGCACCTGGGGTGAGACAGCGCAGCATCACACACCCCTACCCAAAAGCCTCCTCGCCATTCTGGTAGATTCCATTTGGATGCCCTGTCCTTCCCCCTCCCCCCCCCCCAGGAGTCCCTTCTGCCTAGCTGGACGCCTACCAAGGTGATGGTGACAATGGCATGCAGGACACAGAGCGGGGGGCTGGGGACTCCAGGTCTAGGCTGACTGGAGGCTGTGGAGCCGGGGGCGCCTGGAGCAGAGAGCAGAGAGGAGCAGGTGGTCAGGGTAAGTAAGCCTCCATCTTTGCGGTCCTGGGGTTTGGGAGGGGGAGAAGGGAGGGCAGAAGGGAGGGAAGGCCGCCAGCTGGGGGGGGGGGCACTGACCGCAGTCTGGGCCAGTCACCTCCACCCAGAGGCCCTCGGCTTCCGGTGCACATCTCAGGGCCCTGCGCACGGATTCCTGGATGAGGCCCCGGGGTGGGGCCGCCTGGAAGAAGATGGCCTCCACTTTGGCAGTCGGTGGTTCTGGCCTGGAAAGGAGTTCCGCGCCTGGCTAACGGGAGCTGGCGTCTGGCTCTCCACCACCCATCCCCAGAACCCAAACCCAAGCCAAAGCAGCCCACCAGAACTCCTGCACCACGACTTGAGCAAAGTTCCACAGAGTCCTGAGGCCTGGGGTCATCTGGGGTCAGGAGAAGAGGGCAAAGGTCAGGGCCCTCTGCCCACCACGGGCTCAGCCAGCTCCACCCCTGCACCCCCCTCTCTTCCACCCCCCACCCTCCTCCCCCCCGCCGCCATGTCACCCATCCGGTCAGCTGCTGCTGAAGCTTCTGGAATTCGGGGCTGGTTTTGTTCTGCAAGGCCTTGGTGAAGGGCCAGCCCCCTATCAGGAGCCACAGCTCATACACCTCCAGCTCGGCCTTCTCCTCTAGAACCATAGGAATGGGGGTACAGCATGCAGAACCCCATCACCCAGGAACCTGGCGCAGAGCACACGTCCCAGTCCTGCTGTTCCCAGAGAGTGGCATTTGTTTATTTTGGTGTTGGTACTGGGCTTGAACTCAGAGCCTGGGCGCTGTCCCTGAGCTTTTTCACGCCAGGCTAATGCTCTACCACTTGGGTCACAGCCCCACTTCAGGATTTGTGCGCGGTTAACTGAAGATAAGAGTCTCACGAATTTTCCTGCCCAAGGGGGCTTTGAACCGCGATCCTCAGATCTCAGCCTCCTGAGTAGCCAGGATGACAGGCGTGAGCCTCCAGGGCGGGCTCAAGGGTGCCATGTTTCACATCGAAGCCTGGAGATTCTCCAAGCACACACATGAAATCCACAGCCTGGGGCCAGTGACTCATGCCTGTCATCCCAGCTACTCAGGAGGCTGAGATCTGACGATCGATTGTGGTTCCAAGCCAGCCTGGGCAGGAAAGTCTGTGAGACTCATCTTCAGTGAACCACCAAAAAAGCTGTGGCTCAAAAGTGGTAGAGCACCAGACTGGAGGGGAAAAAAGGCTCAAGGATAGAATTCATACTCAGTGCAAGTCCCAGTAATGGCACACACACATGCGCACACACACGCACACATGCAATTCTACTCATTTTCTAGAGGGGACTGTAAATTCTAGAAGAAGTAGGCTGCCAGTCCAGACTGGACTCCCTGCCAGACTCACCGTTGGCTTCTAAGCTGGATTTCAGGAGGGCGGGGTCTGTGCTGCTGCGGGCCAGGTGATTGGCCAGGCCTCGGAGGTGGGTGGGGACAGGGCTGTGGAATTTGTATTCCATGTCGACGCTCACCCATTGGTCGAGGTCGCTAGAGAAGGGCGGGGTCACAGGTTAGCAGATGCTACTACAGAAGCAAGCTTTGAGCTGTAGGTATGGGGGGGGGCTCCCCACGTCCTTGGGCAGAGATCCAGATGGCTCAAAGTCCTCTCCAAGTGACCCCAAACCTCTGCCTCCCCATCCTGGCTTGCCCCCCTAGCTGTGCAGGCTGGGGATGGGGGCGACACTCTACCCACCTGAAGAGGAGCAGGGGCCCTTTTTGAGGGTGCTTCTTATAGAATCCGGACACCAGCGGTGTGAGCTGTGGGGAGTCAGGGAGGTCGGAACTCAGAGGAACCCTGGGCAGGGGAGCCTGGCTAGGCCAACCCCCACCCCACCCCAGGCATGCTCTGAGGCCTCTCCGGTCTCCCTCACGCCCCCCTTCCCCCCCCCATTGTGCCAAGCTGTGGCACCTCCACAGGCAAAAACCCAAGAGGGCAGCTGGGTACTGGTGGCTCACACCTGTCATCCCAGCTACTCAGGAGACTGAGATCTGAGGATCACAGTTCAAAGCCCCACAACCGACGCAAAAACCAGAAGTGGTGCTGCGGTTCAAGTGGCAAAGCACTAGCCTTGAGCAAAAGAGCTCAGGGACAGGGCCCAGGTCCTGAGTTCAAGTCCCAGGCTTGGCACAAAATAAAAATAGCCCAGAGGCCTGTTGTGAAGAGAATCAGGCAAAGGTCCCAGGTCCCTTCCAGAAGGAGGGCTGCGTAAGGGAACAAGGAGATCTCACCCACTGGAGAATCTGTTTCTCTAGCAGGATGAAGGGCTTAGAACCAGGCGAGAGGAGCTGGGGCAGGAAGGGCCTCAGGACTGTGAAGTGGATGCTGATGGTCTCCAGAGCCAGGTCGGTCAGGTTGGACCCTGCAGAGTCACAGGTGAGAGTCAGGAGGCCCCAGAGTCCCCTAGGGAGCCCGCCCCATGGTCCCTGTATTGGCCTGGGGGAGGCAGACACTTGAGGGCTCACCATCAGAGGCCAGGCTGTCCTCAGCCAGAGACACACTTCCCAGCATCCACCTGGACATCTTGACCCAGCGGTACATAGTCCAGAGGACTTGGTGCGCCGAGGGCCCGGATGAGCCCCCAAACACCAAGGTGGCGTTTACATCTTCAGAGTCAGGCCTGGGGACAGAGGCATGTGCTCACAGAAGGCCCTGGCAGGGGAGGGGCCTGGCTGGTGCATAAGTCCCCCTCTTTTTTTGAAAGGGGGGAGTAGAGGCATGAACTGGAGGCCTGGGCTCTGTCCCTGAGCTCCTCAGCTCAAGGCGAGCGCCCTACCATTTGAGCCACAGCGTCACTTCTAGTTTCCTGGTGGTTCATTGGAGATAAGAGTCTCATGGATGTTCCTAACTGGGGCTGACTTTGAACCACCATCCTCAGATCTCAGCCTCCTGGGTAGCTAGGATTACGGGTGTGAGCCATGGGCACCAGGCCTGTCCCTGAGTTTTTGTGCTTCAAGGCTGGTGCTCTACCACCTGAGTCATTACGCCCAGCCTTTTTTTTGGGGGGGGTCCGGTCATGAGGCCTGAACTCTGGGCCTGGACGCTGTCCCTCAGCTCTTCAGCTCAAAGCTAGCACTCTACCACACTTGAGCCACAGTTCCACTTCCGGCTTTTTTCTTTTTGTTTATGTGGTGCTGAAGAATCGAACCCGGGGCCTCAGGCATGCAAGGCAAGCGCTCTACCACTGAGCCACCTTCCCAGCCCATGCCCAGTCTTTAACTCAGGGCTGTGCTCTCCCTTGGCTAGTTTGCTAACACCCAGTGCTCTACCACTTGAGCACTTGCCTCCAGCCCAGCTTTTGGCTGGTTAATTGGAGTGGGCACTCAAGGACTGTTCTGCATGGGCTAGCTTTTTTCTTTAGTCGGTAGTAGGGCTTGAACTTGGCCTGGGTGCTGTCCCTCAGCTTTTCAGCTCAAGGCGAGCACTCTACCACTTGAGCTACAGCGCCACTTCCAGTTTTCTGAGTGGTTTATTGGAGATAAGAGTCTCACAGACTTTTCTTGCATGGGCTAGCTTTGAACCGCAATCCTCAGATCTCAGCCTCCTGAGTAGCTAGGATTACAGGCGTGAGCCACCAGGGCCAGGCTGCGGTGGGCTAGCTTTGCACAGTGATCCTCTAGATTTCAGCCTCCTGATTAGCTAGGATTATGAGCAAGAGCCACCAGCACAGGGCCAGCCAGATGCTCCTGCCACCCCTGCCTTCCCACTGCTGCTCAGACATGCCTGGCAGCACCGTACCAATCCAGCAGCTGAAATCAGCTCGGATCAAGAGGAAGGTCATTCGAGGTCACACAGCCACTGCTGGGACCAGATGTGAGCTTGTACCCTCTCCCTCCTCCCCGTCCAGCCCTTCCTGGCCCTGGCAGAGAGAGCAAGCAGGCAGGGGCTGGCAGCCTGGGGACCCCAAAACACAGGCACTCACCTGAACACCAGGACACCAACACCCTCGAAATTGGGAAAGTCCAAGTGATAGATAGACTGGATCTGAGGACAGATAGGCAGACAGACAGGCAGACAGAAGGCATGGAGCAGGCCCTCCCTACCCTCCACATCTCTGTCCCCTGCCATCGGGCCTGCTTGAACAATGCAGTGGCCAGACTCTGCCCAAGCTACTTTCCTTATTTTTTCCTTTTTTTTTTCTGGCCAGTCCTGGGGCTTGAACTCAGGGCCCAGGCACTGTCCCTGGGCTGCTTTTGCTCAAGGCTAGCACTCGACCACTTGAGCCACCGCACCACTCCTGGCTTTTTTCTGTGTATGTGGTACTGAGGAATCGAACCCAGGGCTTCATGCATGCTAGGCAAGCACTCAACCAGTAAGCCACATTCCCAGCCCCTTTTTTTTTTTTTTGGTACTGGTCCTGGGGCTTGAACTCAGGGCCTGGATGCTACCCCTGAGCTTTTTCATTCAAGGCTAGTGCTCTACCACTTGAGCCACAGCTCTACTTCTAGCCTTTTTGCTGGTTCATTAGAGATAAGAGTCTCAGGGACTTTCCGGCTGGCAGGCTAGCTTTCAATCTTGAGCCTCAGATCTCAGCCCCCTGTGTGGCTAAGATGACAGACATGAGCCACGGGCACTGGCCCAAGCTACTTTCTACACAAGCAGCCTCAGATCTGAGGTCAACTTAGCTAACATCAGAGGCAGTGCCGAGTCTTGGAGCTGTAAATGCCTGATTTTCCCACTTTGCTTTTCCTCTCTGCTGCAAATCACTTTTCAATGCGGTCATGCTTGGCTCTGTCTCCCAACAGCTGCCACCTGGGCCTCTTCTCCCCTCCCCTCCCTCTCCCCCCTCCCCCCCCCCCCCCCCCCCCCCCCCCCCCCCCCCCCGCCCCAGTTCCTCAGTGCCTCTGACCATCTCAGGCACACAGTTCTGCCTGCTCACAAAGTCTCTTTCGTGTGTGTGTGTGTGTGTGTGTGTGTGTGTGTGTGTGATCAATTGTGGACCTTGAACTCAGGGCCTGGGCACTGTCCCTGAGCTCTTTTGCTCAAAAGGATATTGCTCTATTATTTTGAGCCACAGCCCCACTTCCCATTTTCTGGTGGTTCATTGGAGGTAAGAGTCCCATGGACTGCCCTGCCCGGGCTGGCTTTGAACTGCAGTTCTCAGATCTCAGCCTCCTGTATAGTTGGGGTGACAGGCGTGAGCCTCCAGTGCCTGGGCCTCTTCCTGTCTCATCTGGCCATCTTCTCTCTACGACAGCTAATATTTCACACTTGTAATCCCAGCACAGGGGAGACTGAGGAAGGAGGATCTTGAGTTCAAGGCCAGCCTGGGCTATACTGGGAGACCCTGTCTCAATGAAAGGAGGCTGGGGAGGGGGGGCGGCTCAGAGATGGAACTTTTACTCTATCATCGTCTATCTGGATTGACCTGGTTTCTGATTCAGTCTCCCCAGGAGATTTCCTGAGGCAGGAATTCTGCTTGGTTTTGCTCTCTGTCTCTCCTGCCTTGGCACAATGTCCAGAAGGCACTCAGTGAATTCTAAGAAACAGGTTAAAAAGGGGAAGGAATGGACCAATTGCCATGGACAGAGACTCAGAGCGCCCCCTGGAGGACAGGTGAAAATATACATGTCCTAGTCCTGCAGCTGTGGTTCACGCCTGTGATCCTGGTTAGGCCCTTCCTGGCCAGAGTGCTTCCTCCCTCATCTCTATAGTTCCTGAATGAACAGTGACTCATTTCCCCAGGAGTAAGATAAGAGACTCATGGACTTTCCTCCTCAGGCTGGATTTGAACTGGGATCCTCAGATCCCAGCCTCCTGAGTAGCTGGGATGACAGGCAGGCTCCTGACTAGTTTTCTACTTTCTCCCCATTCTGTGGGGTCCTCCCAGGAGCACAGGACAGCATTCATTCGTTCATTCATTCATTCGTTCATTCATTCACCCTCAGCTCTGGGCCTCGCTGCCCTGAGGGAGCCCAGGGCACAGGAGGGGCTCTGTGACCCCCCCGTGGGGGATCAGGTGCCCCTACCTGGTGGCAGAGGTCCCCACGCAGCTGCTGTTGTGGCACAGATGCGGGGCTTCCCAGAGCATCAGACGAGGCTCCACCGGTGACCCGGAAAGTCACGGAGCGGGTCACGTGACCGACTCCTGGCATGGAGGAGGCTGAGTCCTGGAAAGGGGTGATCTGGCCAGGATGAGAGGAGGGGGTGGGCTGGGTGGGATAGATGCTCACAAGGGTCCTCGGGGAGCCAGGGCTCCATGGGGGCCCCGGAAGGCTGGAGGGGGGTTGGTGGGAGAGGGTAGCAGTTGGGGATGGGCTGGCAGGGGCCCCCAGCCCTGGCTGGACTGTCCTCTGAGGGGCAGCCGGCTGGTGGTGCCCTGAGATCAACAGGAGTGGCCTGGTTGGAGCAAGGCTGGAGGCACTGGGAGGGGAGGCTGTGGTTGAGAGGCCCAAGGCAGATGCAGACAGGCCTGGGGGGGCCCTGGCTCCAGTGGAGACAGAAGAGATTGGGGCTGGGACTGGAGATGGTGGCGCTGATGCTGGGGAAAGTGGCAGAGATGGAGCCAGCGGGGAGGAGGAGGTTGGAGATGGTTGTGGAGTTGACAGGGCTGAGGTCAGTGGCCCCACAGAGGCCGCCATGGGCCCCGGACCCCGGCTGGCCACTGCCCTGTCCCCGGCCACGCTTGTGATGGCCGGAGAGGCCCTGTCCAGCCCTGAAGTCCCAGGAGCTGCAGGGGGCAGGGGCTGGGTGACGGCGGTCCTGTTAGAACCAGATGGCCACACAAGTTGGCACGGAGGCACGAAAGAGCTCCCAGCAGGGGGTGTAGGGGACTCAGGCCAGGAGCGGCCAGTGGTCCATGCTGCGGGCACCTGAGCACTGGCATTAGGATTATACCTGCCCCAGGCCTGCCTTGGCCATCCTGTGGGTCCAGACATGGATGAAGGGGAGGGGGAGGAGAAAGGGGGTCCTGCAGGCTGCCTCAGTGGTGTGGGAGTTACAGATGCAGACATCACCTGGGATCCTGGCACCATTGGGACCCGGGGCTGGGGCTCTGGGGTCCTATAGGCTGCAGCCTTGGTCACTGTTGAGAGGGTTGGGACAGGACTTCCCCCAGGAGTGGGCCGAGGGAGGGGATCCCAGGACACGGCTTCGAGGACCTGCCGGCCCCCAGATTTCCCTGGGTAAGGGAATCTGTGGAACTTGGGTCGCTGGTGAGGCGTCTTGCTGCCAGCTTGCAGGTCTGCTGGGTCAGAGGCTGAAGGAGACTCATCAGGGTCTTCGTGAGCAAAAGGCAGGGGCAGGACTGGAACTGAGACCACCAAGAGAACTGCAAACCAGGCCAGGCCTTGTCTAGCAGCACCAGTGTGTATGATCGGCCCCACTCTCCCCCCCAACCCCCATCATATTAAGGAGCCTAGGGAACCTAAGACCCAGCTCAGCCTCAAGAGCTCACTGGAGCCAGGTGCTGGCGGTTCATGTCTGTCACCCTAGCTACTCAGGAGGCTGAGATCTGAGGGTCTTGCTTTAGCCCTGGCAGAAAAGACCTTGAGACTTTTGTTGTTGTTGGGGGAGGCAAGAAAGGGGGTCTTAGCTGGGCGCTGGTGGCTCACGCCTGTCATCCTAGCTACTCAGGAGGCTGAGATCTGAGGATCGTGGTTCAAAGCCAGCCCGGGCAGAAGAGACTGTGAGACTCCTATCTCCAATAAACCACCAGAAAACCGGAAGTGGCGCTGTAGCTCAAGTGGTAGAGCGCTCGCCTTGAGCTGAAGAGCTGAGGGACAGTGCCCAGGCCCAGAGTTCAAGCCCCACGGCCAACAAAAAAAAAAAAAAGAAAGGGGGTCTTGAACTCAGGGCCTGGGTGCTGTCCACAGCTCCACTTCTGGTTTTCTGATGGTTCACTGGAGATGAGAGTCTCACAGACTTTCCTGCCCTGGCTGGCTTTGAACCTCAGTTCTTAGATCTCAGCCTCCTGAGTAGCTAGGATGATAGGTGTGACCCACCAGCATCCAACTGGACTATTATCTCAAGCCCCAGGACTAGCCAAAACAAAAAAGGGAGAGGGGACCAGGTGCTGGTGGCTCACGCCTGTCATCCTAGCTATTCAGGAAGCTGAGATCCAAAGATCATGGTTCAAAGCCAGTCTGGGCAGGAAAGTCCATGAGACTCTTACCTCCAATAAGCCACCAGAAAACCAGAAGTGGAGCTGTGGCTCAAAGTGGTAGAGTGCTTTCCTTGAGCAGAAGAGCTCAGAGACAGTGCCCCCAGGCCCTAACAAAATCTCTCTCTCTCTTTCTCTCTCTCTCTCTCTCTCACACACACACACACATACACACACACATGGAGAGGAGAGGTCTGATGTTCGTTGAGGAGTTCCTGTCCCTCCCTTGGGCCACCTATGCTGTCCCCACTTTCTTACCAGCCAGAAGAATCCCAACAGCTGGAAACCACTGCATAGCCATGCTAGAGGCTCCCAGGGTCAGTGTCAGGGACAGGGTCAGTGTCAGGGACAGGGCGAAGCTGTGCTGAGCGCCTTGCAGAAGGGACAGGTGGAGCTCTGGGCCGCACTGGAGGCCCTGAGTGTAGTACTTAGCACCTGGAAAAGGGAGGAAGAGAGAAAAGACAGGAAAGCAAAAAGGAAGTAAGAAAGCGGGACACCAGTAGCTCACACCCGTCAACCCAGCTACACAGGAGGCTGAGATCTGAGGACAGAGGTTCAAAACTAGCCCAGAGGCTGGGCCTCAGTGGCTCACACCTGTCATCCTAACTACTCAGAAGGCTGAGATCTGAGGATCTCGGTTCAAAGCCAGCCCGGGCAGGAGAGACTGTGAGACTCCTATCTCCAATAAACCACCAGAAAACCGGAAGTGGCGCTGTAGCTCAAGTGGTAGAGCACTTGCCTTGAACTGAAGAGCTGAGGGACAGCACCCAGGCCCAGAGTTCAAGCCCCACGACCAACTGACAAACATGAACAACAACAAACTAGCCCAGGCAGGAAAGTCTATGGGACTCTTATCTCTAATGAATGAGCAAAAAGTCAGAAATGGAGCTATGACTCAAGAGGTAGTGTGCCAGGGCTAGAACTACGGCTTAGTGGCAGAGTGCTTGCCTTGCATGCATGAAGCCTTTGGTTCGATTCCTCAGTACCACATACCCAGAAAAAGCGGGAAGTAGCGCTGTGACTCAGTGGTAGAGTGCTAGCCTTGAGTGAAAGATGTCCAGGGACAGTGCCTAGGCCCTGAGTTCAAGCCCCTGAATTGGCAAACAAAAAAAAAAAAATAGGAAGAATTACTCCTGGAACCTGTGTGACAGTGAAGCCAGTAAAGGAATTTAGGCGGAGAGAAAATGAAAATGTAGGGTAGAACTCAGATGGCAGATCTCTCAGACAAGAGGCCAGCCAAGACAGCCAGCCCCGTCTCCCCACCTTCGCCTGCCCCACCCTGCCCTCTAGCCTGCTCCCCTTCCTGGCTGAACAGGTTTCTTTTTGGTGCCAGTGCTGGACCTTGAACTCAGGGCCTGGATCCTTTAGCTTTTGCCACTCAGGGCCGGTGCTCTACTTAAGCCCCAGCTCCACGTCTGGCTTTCTGATTGCTCGCTAGAGAGAAGAGTCTCAAGAACTGTCCTGCCTAGGCTGGCTTTAAATCCTGATCCTCAGCTCTCAGCCTCCTGAGGAGCTAGGATGACAGGCGTGACCGGCACTAGGTTGAACATGATTTCCAAGAGGGAAGAATTTCACAGCTCCTTGTTGTGTAACCCTCCCCCCCCACTCCTGCTGCACCCCCGGAGGCTGCCATCACCCACCCCTTCTGGCTGAACAGTTCCAAGCGTGGTGAGGGCCAGAGGGGATGGGGGGACACCCACTGAAGGGCACTGAGTTGAGGCCTGGGCCCCATGACCCACCCCCTGGCTGGCTGGCCTATCCTGACACCCCCATTCTGCCTCCCCAACCTGTGCCCCCCAGGATGCTCAGGTCTTACCTGGTAGCCTAGGTAATTCCAAGAAGTCTCCTGCGCCCCTCAAGGAGGAAAGGTTCCAGCCACCTTCTTCCCCCACCCCCCCCCAGGAAGTTCTGCGTTTGATGGCTCAGGTCTGGGGCACAGATCAACCTGTGTCCCCAGGCACAGAGCAGGAGGCCCACACACCCAGAGGGTCCTGAGAAGGGTGGTAGTGGACACAGAGGGACAGCAAGGGGTGAAGAGCAGACAGAGACCGGGCACCCCATCGAGAGGTGCATTTGCCTAGACATACGGGCAGCGGGGCCAGCGGATGCCAGCTTTGCCTACTTGCCTTCCAATGGGCCTCCCTGGCTTGGGGGATGGAGTGTCAGCAGGCTGCAGCCCCCCACCCCCACCCCGCCGTGTCCTGAGCACTTCCATCAAACAAACAAACACCACCCAGCCAGAGCCAGCTCAGGAAGGGGGATGAATGCTCTTCCCACCAGAAATCAATTCATCTCAGCCAGGCACTGGTGCCACACGCCTGTAATCCCAGCTACTCCAGAGACTGAGATCTGAGGTTTAAAGACAATCTAGGCAGGAAAGTCCATGAAACTTCTTTTTTTAAGCTTCAATTAACCATCAAAAAGCCAGAAGTGTGTCCCAAGTTGTAGAGTGCTAGCCTTGAGCAAAATAGGTCAGGGCCAGCACTCAGGGCTTTGAGTTCAAGCCCCAGGACAGACATACACACACACGAAAAACAACAGTTTTCTCCCTCTGATCTTGCCTGTTTTCATGAATGCTTACTAGTGTCCCAAAACTGAGCAAAGGCATCTTAAAGAAAGACACCTATTCTGAGAAAAAAAAATTTAATAAAATGATCCTTCTGATCCCAAATGTATTTACAAAGAAAAGGTATTTAAGGGCTGGGAATGTGGCTTAGTGGCAGAGTGCTTGCCTAGCATGTACTGGGTTCAATTCCTTAGTACCACATACACAGAAAAAGCCAGAAGTGAGTGCTGTGACTCAAGTGGTAAAGTGCTAGCTTTGAGCAAAAGAAACTCAGGGATGGTGTCGAGATCCTGAGTTCAAGTCCCAGGATCAACATCAAACAAACACCACTATTGACAAAAACACCAAATAAGAGTACATTTGCAGGGGCTGGGAAGGTAGCTCAATGGTAGAGTGCTTGCCTTGCATGCATGAGGCCCTGGGTTTGATTCCTCAGCACCACATAAGCAGAAAAAGCTAGAAGTGGCGCTGTGATTCAAATGGTAGAGTTCTAGCCTTGAGCTGAAGAGCTGAGATGTCCAGGCCCAGAGTTCAAGCCCAAGGACAGGCAAAAAAAAGAAAAAAGAAAAGAAAAAAAAAGAGTACATTTGTAGGACCCCATCTAGACCTATTGAATCAGACCTTTGGGTAAGGTCTGGCGATGTGTGTTATCACAAGCTGGCAGATGCTGTGTATCTTGCCAACATTTGAGAACTGCTACTCTAAATAATCAAATAATCTCTATTTGTGAAACAAATATCTGTGAAATGGCATGAAAAGGACATGCCACTCACCTTTTTGACTTCCAAATTTAAGTCGTTTGCCTGTCTGATGTTACCTGTGTGATGTTGGCTGTTTTGCTTTTCAAATAGTCTTATCAATATAAAGGCAGTTTTAAATCTATATCTAATTTTTTTATCTCTCCTTTATATTAAAAAAATGAGTTTTCAAAGCCAGGTGTGGTGGCAACTGCCTGTAATTAGGTAGGCAGGCTGGCCTGGGAAAGTTGCCAAGACTTTATGTGAAATAGAACCGAAGCAGGATGGGCTGTGGGTGGGGTATGGGGTTCAGGTGATAGAGAGCTTGCCCTAGGCAAGCACAAGGTCCTGGGCTCAAACCCCAGTTCTGCCTCTCCTTCCAAAAGAAGTTGCTGGGCACAGGTGGCTCATGCCTGTCATCCTAGCTACTCAGGAGGCTGAGATCTGAGGATCTCAGTTTAAAGCCAGTCTGGGCAGGAAAGTCTATGAGACTCTTATCTCCCACAAACCACCAGAAAACCAGAAGTGGCGCTGTGGCTCAAGTGGTAGAGCGCTCGCCTTGAGCTGAAGAGCTGAGGGACAGCGCCCAGGCCCAGAGTTCAGGCCCCATGACACACACACACACACACACACACACACACGCACGCAGCTTTTTTTTCCTTTTTTTTTTGTCAGTCGTGGGGCTTGAACTCTGGGCCTGGGCCTGGGCTCCTGCCCCGGCTGCCTTTGAACCGCATTCCTCAGATCTCAGCCTCCTGAATAGCCAGCATGGCAGGTGTGAGCCACCGGCGCCCGGCCGGTTTGGACTTTCTTATCCTCGGCTTTGCCCTCCTGAGAGTGGAGCCGGTGATGGACGATCGTTCCCACGAGGGAGTTCTCCAACACGGAGCCCCGGGGTCAGAGCTGCGGCCACCTCTAGGGGACCAAGATCCGCAGCGGCGCCCGCCGGGAGACCACTAACCCCGCGCAAGCCCCGCCCCGCGCAAGCCACACCCCCAGAGTAGCTGCCAGCGACCACGCCCTCACCAAGCCACACCCACCGCCCCGCCTCTAGGCAGTGACCACGCCTCCAGACCAAGCCCCGCCCCACCGCCCCGCCCCTTACACACTCCACCGCCCCGCCCCTGACGCTGAGCGTCCCAGTCACGTGACCGCCCATCAGCTGACCTATGCGACCCAAAGAAGATACCGGTGGGCCGGGCCTCCGGGCACGATGGTGAGGCCGCGGGGGCGGCGCGGGGCGGCGGGAAGGGGGAGAGGGTG